GGGCACAATAATTTAGCACAAGAAATGGATGAATGTAAAATACATTTTTTTTATAAATGTTTAATATATTTGATATGATATATAGATATATGCTGATAAAATTACGTATATGAGCACCAAATTGGTTTAAAAAGTTTCTAGTAATCTTTCTTAAGCACTTTTCAATTTGTTCGCTAACTTTTCAATAGACATCTGAACACTGTTAATGCAGCTGATCTGTTGATATACTAAAGGATTTTCACAGGGTTCACTGTAGCTGTTCCACTTAACGTTATCTGTTGCCCGTTTATTGAGTTCAATGATCTTTGGTTTAGTTGTTGCTTTTTTTTTGATGGAACTTTTGTACTTACATCAAAGAAAAACGAACTAAGGTGTTTCTATTTTGACAAACTAATAAATGGAGAATTTTTAATGTGAAAAAAAACTGTTGTCATTACTTCTTATTTCTCTCAGCTGTTCGCTGTATTTTAAAGCCTCAATGGGTTGTATTGTAGCAAGAAATTTTTTATATTTTCTGAGAGTAAAACTGTTGTGCTTTTAAACAGCCAAAATGCTGTTAAATTTTTTTCGTATTTTTAGAAAAACGTTTAAGGTTTTTAAAATCTTTGCTGGACAAAAAAACTTGATTCTGCTTTTTTCTTCTTCTTTTTTTTTTTTTTTTTTCGTCATAGGTGAATAATTTTTTTAGTTTATCGGTGTATTAGAAGTTTACAGTTTGGATATATATTGAAATGGTAACTTTAAAATGCACTAAAGAAATTAATGTTTTATTTTTTAAGCAACAAAAAAAAAGTTTGTTATTAAAAAATGATATTTTGATGTTAACTTAATTACCATTACGTTGTAAAGGCAAATACTTTTTGTCTAATATTCCATAACGTTTAACCGTATAAAAAGTGCTTTAAAATTTCAGGGCACTCCGACGTTCGATGCTCCGATGCAACTGACAGTTAATGGGCATCATCGCCAAACATCTAACGAAGGTATAAAACAGATGGTTTTTTTTTTTTTT